GAAAACAAACAGTAATATTTGCTTGGCAGACACGATTTTCCAACAACATTGAATACGAAATAATAGCGAACAATGGTAGCCATAATACTAGTTGTTGGTTATAAGACCGAGTTATACTCGGTTGAAACTCGAATCAAATGCGTGCAACATGGTATTCGATGGCAGACTGTATAAGCTTGGAATACAGTATTATTACATAAGCGTAAGCAATATCTACTGACATACAAATGACAGGAAACTTGTACGTGTTGAATGTTAGATTTTCCTATCCTTTATGAACCCATATCCTTCTCATCTTAAGTATGGAGGTTTCAACTATGTCAAAAAGAAATGACTCTAATCTAATTGCTCTTGCAAATTTCACCTTTCAATCAAATTACGCATACACTCATGTAAATACACATTCGAATTTTAAAGATCTTAAATATAAATTGATGAAATATTTCAATTACTTTTAAACACTGTACTTGTAATATTGTCAAAAAAAAAGAAAAAAAAATCAACAAGAAATATTGTACAAGAGAAAAATTGTCCACTTTGCTTGGAAATTCATTTGCAATTTAAGTATGGATATAAGCTAAGCGTATAATTTTATTAAAGTACCATCGTAGTTGAAACCACCGGTGGCAAATTATATGAACGTTTTAACAAATAGCTTTTTCTACTTCTTATTCTTATTCTTTTTTCATCCATGTGAATAGTTTAACTTCTTTCTTATCCTCATCCATGGTTTTCTTTATCTCTTCTTTACTTTTATTATACTTCAAGTTATCGTGACTACGAATCGTTATCTTTCAAGTTATTGTAGTGTTGGTGATGGCAGAGAAAAGTGTTAGAAATAATTCGTTTCTGTGTAAGCAACTTTGAAACGTACGTCTTTTGGATCAATGTGTGAATCGTAGGATTAATCGAAAGTTGAATTCAACAGTCGCGTGTTTATGGTCGTTTATTGAGGCGCCAAGTAGACGATCATTCTGAATATTCTCGATTATTATTATCATCATCATCATCATCATCATCATCATCATCGACGTTCACCGATGCATTATTATTCTCCGAAAATGTCAGTTTTCACTACGAATAATACTAATAATAATTATAATAACAATAACAGAGGAAAATAATATATTTTAATTAACTTTCATCTCTCGATGTTACGTAAATTTATCGAATATATGATCAACGTGTTTAAGGTGAAACCAGGTTAAGCAGAACTTCCGATGCATTAACAACGAAAAATGGTTGATGTTAAAAACGTGCGTGTTGTTAAAAAGGAAGGACAGAGAAAAGAGAAATATAGTTTAACGGGAATAAGGGTGGGAAGGGAAGGAGTGGGAGTAAAGGGTAAAGGAATAAAAGCTGTAATAGTGAAGTGGGGGTCAGAGGAAAGTGAATAAAAGGGTGGGAAAAGATGAGTCGGAGTTTCCACGTACTACCCACGTCGGACGCTCTTAAGGGATTTAAACAGGGTTTTAAGTATACAATGATGATTTCGTGCGCGGTTAAACCAACACGTAACTTTTTCATTCTACCTCTTCGTTACTTGCTACTTACTCGTTTCAACTTGTACGTACCTGGTAGGTACATTATTCATTTGAACGTGCGGAAATGTAGGTACATGGAAAACAAGCGCACCTCTACGAGGATTTAAATTTGTTCATTAATTAATCTTACCTGCGCAAATTGGATTTATCTGAATAAAATTAAAAAAATATATATATATATATATATATATATGAAAAGATAGAAAAATAATTAAATAATATAGACGATACGTCGATGTTCTGCAATCGCAACGTTTCGATTTTTCTTTTTATTTTTTTTTTTTTTTTATTTTTAAATCGATGCATTCAATAAAAAAAAAAAAAGGAAAAATAATTCGAAACAAATTTGTACATCTTTTTCCTTCTATCCCACATTATACATTACTTTAATTCGTATAATTTGTGACTAATTAACACGACTAATTTAAAGAATATTTATTTCGAAGAAATATTAATTTTTTTGCTGGTAAAATAATTGTTAATATATTAATTGATAAAGAACCAATTTACTTTTCATCCATATTCCTTATTATTTATTATTTTAATCAAAATAATATTCAAACAAAATCTATATAATAAATAATTAGATTTAATATGAAAAACAAAAAATAAATAATATACCGTTTAGTATATGGATAGTGTTTTTTGATGTCCATAGGGGGAAAAAAACAACACATACGATACAAATTTCACACCTTAAGGTATAAAAGGGTTGGCTTGAAATAAATTCATGTTTACTCCCCACTCTAAGAATTTTGGTTCACACCATAGACACGCGTAAATATGCTGATTACGTTTTAATCCAAATTTATGATATCGTAAAGGAAATTTTCGGAAAAGCTTTTTCCAATTTCCCCGGAGACCTTTTTTTTCTTCTTTTTTTTTTCTTTTTTTTTTCACCGTAAGCAGACGCGAAAGAAATCTCTTTTTCGAGGACGCGAAGACTTTCCCCAGAGGAGAAAGGAAATGAGTGGGGGTAGAAAGGGGTGGTCGCAATGGTTCTGGAGGATGGGTTGGAGTATGAAAAAGAAAAGAAAAGAAAGAGAGAATAGAGAGAGAGAGAGAGAGAGAGTAGTTGGTGGAAAAATGCAAATAGAGAAGAAAACGTTTCGAACGTTTAACGCTAACGTTGAATAATGAAACATCAAGCTCTTGGCATTTTTTTTCTTTTTTCATTTTTTTTTATTTTAACCTTCGTGTTTTACCTTTTTCTCTTTCTATTTCGTTTTTTTCTTTTTTTCTTGTATTCTTTTTTTTTTTGTTCTTTTCTTTTCTGTCTCCTTGTTTTTCTTTTTCGTTCTTTATTTCTTTCCCCACAGTCTTTTCTCGAGCTCTTAATCAGCGGTACGATTTGCTCGAAAGTAAAAGGGTAAAAGGAAGCAAAAAAAAAAAAAAAAGAGAAAAAAAACTCTTGACAGGAGAGAGAGAGAGAGGGGTAGCAAAACGGTACCGTGCTCGTTTTCACATTTTTTTCTTTGAGACTTCGGTCTTTCGCATAAGAAACAAAAACATGCAAAACAAAAATAAGAAAAAAAATTCGTGGGGGCAGAGAAGCTTATATATATGTATATATTCCCTAGTAAGGTAATAGTGGCAGCACGAACATTGGCAGGAAAAACTAGCATGGTACCTAACCAAAGTACCATACTGCGAATCCTTTCCCCGGGAGAGTTTATCTTCGGTGCTTTTAATTTCAGGTAGACCGTGGCTCTTTACTACCACGAGAGGCATAATTATCGCGAAGGTTGGAAGAGGAGAGGGAAAGGGACTGAATATTTCAGTTTTCTCTCTTTCTCTCTCTCTCTCTCTCTCTCTCTCTCTCTCTCTCTTTCTTTCATTCTTTCGTTTCTTTTACATTCTTTTTACTCTTTAATTTTTCCTCCTACGGCAAGTCTTCTTCTCTCCCATGCTCGATTCCTTTCGAAGATACAAACGAGCTAAGATAAAAAGAAGGGGTGAGTTGCCAATGAGAAAGAAAGAGTGAGGGTGAGAAAAGAAGGTAGATGAATAGGAGGCGATGACGTGGAAAAAAGAAAAGAAAAGAAAAGAAAAGAAAAAAGAAGATAGAAAAAAAAAGTAATAGCGAACGAAGGTGGCTTGTTCGTTCGAGAAACTCCAACCGAGGGATTAGGAAGGAAAGTAATGTCAGGCATTTTGCGGACAGATTTGCATAAGTTCTCTACCACCTACCATACTTCTCACGCTTCTCCGTATTTCTAATCTTCCCTCTTAACACCCACCTATAACCAACCCTCACATTTCCCTCCTTCATACCTCACCCAACCCTCTACTCGTTCCTCTTACTAAATTCTTCTTCTTCGAAGAAGAAGAAGAAGAAGAAGAATACAAACTGGTCTTAAATTTGATTCCATTTTGCTTTTATTTTTCTTCTGAGAAGTGGTGGAAGAAAACCTTTTCGAATGATTAGATCGTTAGTGAGTCAATCACTGAATGAAATTTCGATCAGGGAGGTTTGTATTATTATTATTATTATCATTATCCATTAAAATCTTCTCTTTCTCGAATCTAACCCCTCTCTGTTGAATCTTGTTAATGGTATATCATCAACGGTATATTATTTACGGTATATACGTCATAATTTAGGAGGTAAATCCGATTTTACATTAACATGCACAATCGTTGTTTAGTACGATGATAATTATTAGTATTATTTATTCATAGTCCCGTTTAGTATACTGTTTTCGTTTGATAATACTCCTCCATATGAATTAATCAGTGACTATTGAAAATATTCACAACAATTTTATCATATATTTTATGGTTTTCGTATACATTTTATAATGTATATTGTATTTGTTTTGATGAATATTTTCTTTATTTATTGTAATTATTTATACATTATATTGCATAATAGAAATTAATAAATGAATTATTAAAAAAAATGAAACCTTAATAACCTGAATGATTTTATATACGAGTAAAGATACAAAGTGAAAAAGTTAATCGTACCGTAGGAATATTTTATGAAGTTCCCTGTATATGTTAGAGGACAAATTCAATAGGGAAGATATCAACTGTTTTGCATAACCTGTGGGTCTACTACTATCCTAGACTCAATTTTCTATCTAACATAAGCTACTATCTCTATCTCTATCTCTATCTCTCTCTCTCTCTTTCTACTTGAAACTTTAAGAAGTTTAATCGTGAAACCAATTTGCAGTAACCGACACTTACAAAATGATTATAAGTAAAAATAAATCAATATTTATTACGAATTGGTATTACAAAAAAATAAGATCATAGATTTAATTAAAATAAAAAATTGTTCAGAGAAAAATAATTAGAAATTCTTAAACTTAAGATTGTTTGATTGATTTTTCTTTTTTCGAAACATTTCAATATAATTTTCATGTATTTCTATTCATTCATATTCGAATGTCAGTTTATTAAACTACACGTATACTAAAGGAACTATTTTAATCATCGATTTTCCAGAATGTCCCGTAATCAAAGCGGATGGTCGGAAGAGGCAGGAAGTTCTGAAGGTATTCAACGACGAACTGGAACAAGACAGACTATTGGTACAACTCAATCCTTAAAAACTAATAGTGCAATATTAGAAGACAGAACATCTTCTGGTACAACCTGTAGAGGTGGATTCAGACTAGGCATCTACGGTTGGAGAAAAAAGTGTTTATATTCATTGGTCCTGACACTTATGATCATCGTCATCCTAAACCTTGCTCTAACTGTCTGGTTACTCAAAGTTATGGGATTTACTTCGGTGAGTATTTGAAAAGTATTTTAATTCTAATTCAAAACTTACTTGAATTATTTGATTGAGTAACAAGGGTACTTAATTATTAATATTATTCGTAATTATAATAAAAACGTATAAAGTGTATAAACCTTTTGTTTTCAAAGAGAAAAGAAAAAAGGTAAAAAAACCCAAAGTGGCAAACGAAAGACGAGAACAAAAGAGCGAAAGGGGTGAAAGAAGATGGTTGAAGTACTCGATTCATAAAAAAGTAATCGCAATTGTTCTAAAAGATCAAGCAAGCGGATATAATATCCTTTGTGTTCGATAACGAATCTTAATTTTTAACGTTCGACGCGGCAGCAGCCGTTGGTTGCATCTTTAGTCGTGATCGGTGCGAAAACGAGAGGATCCCATTGTGTTTGAACCACTCGAACTTTGCACGTATCTACTCTACCTAGCAGCTACTACCCACCTATACAAGCTATAGTTACCGATTCGATTCTATCTACGTGCACACTTTTTCCCCCCAACGAATTTCGAGTATTGTTATCAACCGTTGTGTTGTATATGTCCCCGGAATCCCCGTCCCATAAATGGAGATTCCTCGAGGTTCAACTACGTCTCTTTTCAATTTGCATTTCAACCGAAAATTTCAACGTTTGTTTCCTACAACGACACGAACGATGATTCTTTTTTTTTTTCTATCCACTCTCTTTCCTTTTTTTCTTTTTTGTCTTCTCTCTCTCTCTCTCTCTCTCTCTCTCTGGTCTACTTCTTTTTTTGTTCAAGTGGTGAGGGGTGATTTCGGGTTGAAAATCGTCGACAAGAGTTACGCATGGTGAACCAACATTGGCAATCGTTAGTTTTACCTTTTTTTCTTTTCTATTGGCGTACGAAAAGAAAAAAAAAGGAAGAAGAAGAGAATGATTAGAGAAAGAAATAGGGTTACAAAAGGGTGTGGCGTGTTAGGTCAAAAGGTCCACCGGTTGTTAACAGGTTTGAATATAATTTTCGTTCTAATTGCCGGAAACTACGGTCATATCGGCACGCAGAGAAAATCGTCCCCCTTTTTACATTTCTACTTTCTTTTTTTTTTTCTTTCTTTTTATTTCTTCTTCTTCTTTTTCTTCTTCTTCTTGTTATTTTTGTTCTATTCTTATTTTCCTCGACTCTACCTACGTCGGCTTTAATTCGAGCAATCATAATTAACCGACCCTTCTCAGTCGAGACTCGTAATTCTCTAGGGTGGTGCTAAAGTAAACGCGTTTAAACTACTGCGAAAAGCATGAATTATTCTTACGCTATACTTGTGAATAATATTTATTATTTTTCTCTTTTTTTTTTTTTTTTAAACATTACTTTTATTTTTTATTTTTGTTATACCATTTAACCAATTGACTGCGAGATTTCTCGTAGTGTGTATGTGTGCTGCAATTCTAAATTCATTACAAATAGTTATTTACGTTAAGAATTATTACAAGAATTGAATAAAATATTTATATAATGTAAAAAACATTAATTATCAATTATTGTAAATAAAATTGTAATATTATATCAGTAACTTAATATTACTGTATTTTTCAAAATTTAAAGCATTGTGTGTTAGTCTGGCAGTCAATGGGTTAATATATATATCATTTATTAAATTTATTTTCATTGCATCATTTTTTGATCGTGTGTGATTTTTTTAAACGTGTTCGTGTTCATAAACTTTTCAATGTTACTTAATTATTTTTTATTTAWTTATTATTATTATTTTGAATAGAAATTATCCTAAACGTAGAGTTTACGCACGAACAAAGCAAAAAAACTATTGTTGTATTTTATAACAAATTAATTTGTATAAAATAAAATAGAAGAAAAAAAAAAAGAAATATGTTTTACTCATGACGTTTGTAAAATAGGTTAAAGGAATCGTTTGAAAGAAAAATTGACGTCTAGATGTGAAGAAATATTTGAACGATGTTATAAAATAGAAAGAAAAATCAAAGAAAATGAAAGATAGTGAGAGTGACGTAAAAGAAAACTCGGAAAATTCAGGCTCGTGTGAGAGATGCTTTCGAAAAATGTAGGTTGAGGGGATGGATAAGTAGAAGAAGAAGAAGAGCAGAAAAAAGAAGCTTGAAAAAGAATAAGAGAGAGAAAGTGAGAGACAGGGGAAGAGGGTGGCTTACATTTCCCATGGGATATACTTGGCTGCTCGTAGACTTCTTACTTACGGATTGATACTCAATTTTCAACGAATTTAGAAACCATCTAGGGTTCATTGCTCCAAATCGCGAAGGCTTCTTTCGATTTAGAATAAATTCGATAATGGGACAGTACTTTGAGATAGCCAACAATTTTTGTTGGATTCAATTAGAAAATAAATATACATAATTATTTCTATTTTACTTTTTTACTTTGATTTTCAATTAAAAGGATTTTTTTTTTTTTATGCCACCTATACGTGGCAATAGGATCTGGGGGATGTATGGTGTAAATAGGAGTGGGAATAAACTTCAGTAGTAGTAAAATTATTAATCTTACACTATAGTTTTTAGAATCAATTACCAATACTCTACTTCTTACAAATAAACATATTTGTTATAGCATCGTTCTGTAAAATTCATAATTATCGGTGATAAAAACGTTGAAAATTAAATGTCTCTATTTTCATAATTTTTTGTCTCATTTGCAAGAAAATGCCGCTAGTGTACAGTTAACTATAGTATAGTATATAGTCGAATAGTCCCATCTTAAGCGAAGCATCTTTCTTGGTCGCGTGAAAAGAATAAAAAGAAAGAAAAAGAAGAAGAAGGAGGAGGAGGAGGAGAATAGGCAGGTGGGTGGACTATCAAGAGAAAAGAAAAAAGAAAAAGAAGAACAAAAAAATATAATAAAAAGGAAAAAGAATAAGAGAAGAAGGTTGAGGAGAAGTTGGAGGTGGAGGTGGAGGAGGCTGGAATGCATTCCGCGAGCCAGCAAATATTTTATGTCGTCCGTGCTTCTCTTCGCCTTCATCCACCATTCTTTTCCATCCATTCATATTTGATGAGTGTCTCGTCCTCCCTTTATTTTTTTTCTTCTTCTTCTTCTTCTTCCTCTTCCTCTTCCTCTTCCTCTTTTTCCACCGACCTATCTCACCCTTTACTATTCTATACCATTCTATCTTCGAAGCTTCCTTTACTCCCTTACTCCCCCTAGCCCTTCACTCCCATCCCTAACACTCTTGCTTTATCTATCTTTCTTCTTACTGTCTCTTTCTCTTTCTCTCTCTCTCTCTCTCTCTTTCTCTCTCTTTTCAACCCCCGGCGTTACTTCAAACTCGCTTGGAGCAATATCTCGACGAAATTAAATCATTTTCTCGATTAAAGGATCGCCCTATGATGGCATTAATTAAAACCATAGTAGAAGGGTATTCGTTATTAAAGACCGCAGCATTCTCCGCGTATCACATGACTATAATAATATCATCGAACGATCAAATGAATCTTGGATAATCGATGTTTTTATCGTACGCGTATTGTTCAATAATATTTCCATTTATTGTTTTTTTTTTTTTTTTTTTTTTGAAACAATTATTAAATGCAATTGAAAATAAATCGTCTTGACTTTAAACGTAAAGTAATTAAAATCCAAATTTCTCTTTAAAATAATTTATAGTTATAAAGTTACATTTTTTGACGGTAATTATTTGTAACAAATTAATAATAAATTAAACAAAACCATTATTATTTTTAAATATAAAAACTAAGAATCTTATAAATCAAAACTTGATTGTTTTATGGTATACAGTTTACGTAGTAAACTTTGTTATATTATAACAATGATATAACGTGATAATTTTTAATTAGTATAAAGTAACATTTTTATTGACAGCAATTATTTGTAACAAATTAATAATAAATTAAACAAAACCATTATTATTTTTAAATATAAAAACTAAAAATCTTATAAATCAAAACTTGATTGTTTTATGAAGTATAGTTTATGTAGTATGGTCAAGCTACTACTACCACCAACACTACGCATACAAGCAATAATTTTCTACAAGTATTATATATGCATACTAACGCAAGTTCTCTCATCCTATCTCTCTCTTTCCTTCTTGTACAAATGTACGGCAGGTACGGTATTAAAGGATATCCATTATAACACCTAGCCACCAAGTGCGAGCGTAATATAGCACGTACGGGTCCATGAATTTTGAGCGTATAGTAAGCAGTATAGTGATAGTAGCTTAGTACATATAGGCCCCCTTTCCTTCACACTCTTCCTCACCTCTCACCTACCTCTCTCTCATTCTCATCCTCTCTCTCTCTCTCTCTCNTCTCTCTCTCTCTCTCTCTCTCTCTCTCTCTCTCTTGTTCATGCTCGTTTTCCGAGACACGAAGAAAGTCAAGTTTATTGTTTCCAGCGAGATTATATCTAGCAGGATTGGACGTACATAGACCTGGGAGTTCGGTTGTTTCTCTTAAACCGCATTTTCATCTAACACCAACACACCTAAGATTTACTATTAACGATTTAATAAGAAAACCTTTTTCCATTTTTTACTTTCATCTATTTCATTTATATCCTTGTTATTTTTGTTCAACTTTCTTACCCTAACCCCCCTCCTCCCTCATTTACGTGTACGTGTAATTTTTGTAGTATCTCATACTTAGCCAATACCATCAAACACTTTTCTGTACCTTAACAGTATGTGGTATTTGTTTTTTTTTTTCGAATTGGTCACCTCATTCGTTTATTAACCATGACACATGGTTGCTTAACTTTAAACTAGATTATTATATATATATATAACAAATATTTACCCACATACTATCGAATGGTATACATTTTGTTGGTATTTAATAGTAAAATAACTTGGTTTGCATCTGTGTTGCATTGGGTTAATTCTCGGTTTTTAGCCTTTTCACTTTTACGGCTGTAATTAAGCAACCAACGTGAAAACACAAACTCGTGAAGGGGGAAAGAAAAAATAAAAAAGAAAACTCCCCTTTATAATTTTTTTTTTGTTTAACTACCACAGAGTCACC